TAAACACAGTGGACTGGCTAATCCCTCAGCAGCTCTCTTTCATCACCCCACTGTTTATTAGGAGCCGATATTGAATTTGATGCAAAGTAAAAGAAGACTTGACTATATTGTTAGCAGGGATGTCATTTGAACAAGAAAACGAGTACAGCATACACAAGCGGCCACGTAAAGATACAATGATGGGCTCCTAGACAAAACTGTTGAAGACGTGCTGTAGAAGAGAAACATTCAATCATTATTTTTTTCAGCTAATAATTTTTATCGAGCTGCATAATTAAAATGATAATTTTGCTAACGAGTTTCCCAAATTTAAACAAAAATCTCAGTTCAGTAAATTAATGAATATTGTGCAATATTCTTTTAAAGATATGAAAAAACCAGTTAAGTTTAAGTTGTCTCCGGGAAAAGACACACAGATATGACAGTAGTTTGTGTTTTGTAGAGGTAGAAATTAAATACAAATTATGCTGTCTTAAGGCAGGAACCAACGCAAATTTCACGAGCATTGGATGTACACATAAAATAGGAGACACATGAGAGGCTTGCTTTATAATTATTGCTATAAATGTAAGTGTTGTGTTATAGCTTTCATTGAACCAACCCATACCCATAGCGCAATTCAACCCCTGCTTTGTCACGAAGAAAAAAATAAAAATAAACAGATCTGAAATAAAGTTAAACGTTTTCACACGTTCTACAACTATACCTTCTGGGAGGAACTAAACTATACCTTCTGGGAGGAACTAAACTATACCTTCAGGGAGGAACTAAACTATACCTTCTGGGAGGAACTAAACTATACCCTGTGGGAGGAACTAAACTATACCTTCTGGGAGGAACTAAACTATACCTTCTGGGAGGAACTAAACTATACCTTCTGGGAGGAACTAAACTATACCTTCAGGGAGGAACTAAACTATACCTTCTGGGAGGAACTAAGCTATACCTTCTGGCAGGAACTAAACTATACCTTCTGGGAGGAACTAAACTATACCCTCTCGGTGGAACTAAACTATACCCTGTGGGAGGAACTAAACTATACCCTCTGGGAGGAACTAAACTATACCTTCTGGGAGGAACTAAGCTATACCTTCTGGCAGGAACTAAACTATACCTTCTGGGAGGAACTAAACTATACCCTCTCAGTGGAACTAAACTATACCCTGTGGGAGGAACTAAAATATACCCTCTGGGAGGAACTAAACTATACCCTCTGGGAGGAACTAAACTATATCTTCTGGGAGGAACTAAACTATACCCTCTGGGAGGAACTAAACTATACCTTCTGAGAGGAACTAAACTATACCCTCTGGGAGGAACTAAACTATACCTTCTGGGAGGAACTAAACTATACCCTCTTGGAGAACTAAACTATACCTTCTGGGAGGAACTAAACTATACCTTCTGGGAGGAACTAAACTATACTTTCAGGGAGGAACTAAACTATACCTTCTGGGAGGAACTAAGCTATACCTTCTGGCAGGAACTAAACTATACCTTCTGGGAGGAACTAAACTATACCCTCTGGGTGGAACTAAACTATACCCTGTGGGAGGAACTAAACTATACCCTCTGGGAGGAACTAAACTATACCCCCTGGGGGAACTAAACTATACCCTCTGGGAGGAACTAAACTATACCTTCTGGGAGGAACTAAACTATACCCTCTGGGAGGAACTAAACTATACTTTCAGGGAGGAACTAAACTATACCTTCTGGGAGGAACTAAGCTATACCTTCTGGCAGGAACTAAAATATACCTTCTGGGAGGAACTAAAATATACCTTCTGGGAGGAACTAAACTATACCCTGTGGGAGTAACTAAACTATACCCTCTGGGAGGAACTAAACTATACCCTTTGGAGGAACTAAACTATACCTTCTGGGAGGAACTAAGCTATACCTTCTGGCAGGAACTAAACTATAACTTCTGGGAGGAACTAAACTATACCTTCTGAGAGGAACTAAACTATACCCTCTGGGAGGAACTAAACTATACCTTCTGGGAGGAACTAAACTATACCCTCTTGGAGAACTAAACTATACCTTCTGGGAGGAACTAAACTATACCCTCTGGGAGGAACTAAACTATACTTTCAGGGAGGAATTAAACTATACCTTCGGGGGGAACTAAACTATACCTTCGGGGGGAACTAAACTATACTTTCTGGGGGAAATAAACTATATATCCAGGGCGGAAATAAACTATACCTTCTGGGAGGAACTAAACCATACCTTCTGGGAGGAACTAGCTCAAACAATGCTCCTGTACTTGATTTGACCAGGAATTCTTTGGTCATCAGAAGGTAGAGCTCACCTGTAAGGAGTAGGTGTCATGTTGAAAACCATGAACAAGATATTTTACATTAATTAATTTTTTTTTAAAAGTAACTGAACAGTTTGAAAATTGTATCATGTGGTCCTGCCCTGTCCTTTTATGTCCTGTCCTGTCCTATTATGTCCTGACCTGTCCTGTCCTGTCCTGTTATGTTCTAAATTATTTGAAAAGTTAAAAGACAGTGTTAAATTGGAATTTGGTGAATATTTATGAAATTATTAAAAGTATTTTTTTTTTAAAAATAATTTAGTGATATAATTTACGATAACTTTTTTTCTGAACGCTAATCAAAAATAAATCGATCAATATTTTTTTTTTTTATAAGCCAATCAATTGAAACCGTACCCCTTAAATCTTGTCCGAATGCAAGTATGTGCTTCAGTGGCTTCCCCTTGGCATCTGGCGGACACTTGCTGTGCTCACAGATGGACCACTCTCGTCGAACCCATTCGTCTGGTCTTGTCTCTTCCAACAAATAGGTTTTACTGAAATAGGCCATAAGGAATGTTGCCTCATTAGTTACGATTCTCGCATGCTTTCTTTCCCCTGTGGTGAAAACAAACAGTACTTAAAGGTAAGATTATATAAACTGACTTCACCCCGTAATAACGTCGCCAAAAGTGTAGACGCCGCTGAGGCTGGTCCCAGAGAAAGCCTCGCCCCTGTAAACAAACCCGCCAACTAGCGCGTGGGAGGCGTTATGGGGGAATTTGTAGATGGGAAATTTCTCATTTTCTGAAATGACAAAATGAGAGAACTCATCTTTACATCAGAAACATTCTAAAACTGCATGCACATGTTGTCTTAGACCAGCGGTTCTCAACCTTTTGGGTTGAGACTCCTTTGCGGGCTGAACGACCCTTAGACAGGGGTCGCCTTAGACTATCGGAAAACTTATATTTATGAAGTAGCAACGAAAATAATTGTATGGTTTGGGGTCACAACATGAGAATGTGTATTAAAGGATCGTGACATTAGTAAGATTGAGAACCACTGCCTTAGAGCCTTATAAATTATCAAATATCCGTAAGGAATATTTTTTTCCCTTGATTACTGACATCAGTTAAAATATTCAATCAATAAAATGTCTCATTTTTGCAATCAGCAGATCTGGACTGCATGACTTTGGGCCAAAAAACCTCATAAAAGTTAAACAAGACTTAGCTTTAAAAGTTAAACAAGACTTAGCTTTAAAAGTTAAACAAGACTTAGCTTTAAAAGTTAAACAAGACTTAGCTTTAAAAGTTAAACAAGACTTAGCTTTAAAAGTTAAACAAGACTTAGCTTTAAACAGTTAAACAAGACTTAGCTTTAAACAGTTAAACAAGACTTAGCTTTAAACAGTTAAACAAGACTTAGCTTTAAACAGTTAAACAAGACTTAGCTTTAAACAGTTAAACAAGACTTAGCTTTAAACAGTTAAACAAGACTTAGCTTTAAACAGTTAAACAAGACTTAGCTTTAAACAGTTAAACAAGACTTAGCTTTAAACAGTTAAACAAGACTTAGCTTTAAACAGTTAAACAAGACTTAGCTTTAAACAGTTAAACAAGACTTAGCTTTAAACAGTTAAACAAGACTTAGCTTTAAACAGTTAAACAAGACTTAGCTTTAAACAGTTAAACAAGACTTAGCTTTAAACAGTTAAACAAGACTTAGCTTTAAACAGTTAAACAAGACTTAGCTTTAAACAGTTAAACAAGACTTAGCTTTAAACAGTTAAACAAGACTTAGCTTTAAACAGTTAAACAAGACTTAGCTTTAAACAGTTAAACAAGACTTAGCTTTAAACAGTTAAACAAGACTTAGCTTTAAACAGTTAAACAAGACTTAGCTTTAAACAGTTAAACAAGACTTAGCTTTAAACAGTTAAACAAGACTTAGCTTTAAACAGTTAAACAAGACTTAGCTTTAAACAGTTAAACAAGACTTAGCTTTAAACAGTTAAACAAGACTTAGCTTTAAACAGTTAAACAAGACTTAGCTTTAAACAGTTAAACAAGACTTAGCTTTAAACAGTTAAACAAGACTTAGCTTTAAACAGTTAAACAAGACTTAGCTTTAAACAGTTAAACAAGACTTAGCTTTAAACAGTTAAACAAGACTTAGCTTTAAACAGTTAAACAAGACTTAGCTTTAAACAGTTAAACAAGACTTAGCTTTAAACAGTTAAACAAGACTTAGCTTTAAACAGTTAAACAAGACTTAGCTTTAAACAGTTAAACAAGACTTAGCTTTAAAAGTTAAACAAGACTTAGCTTTAAAAGTTAAACAAGACTTAGCTTTAAAAGTTAAACAAGACTTAGCTTTAAAAGTTAAACAAGACTTAGCTTTAAACAGTTAAACAAGACTTAGCTTTAAAAGTTAAACAAGACTTAGCTTTAAAAGTTAAACAAGACTTAGCTTTAAAAGTTAAACAAGACTTAGCTTTAAAAGTTAAACAAGACTTAGCTTTAAAAGTTAAACAAGACTTAGCTTTAAACAGTTTTAAGCGTATCCTTAGAATTGATTATTTTTGTTAAAGAGGCAATATTATCCAATCATCTCATTAGTGTAGTTGTTTTATCCAAGACCTTATTGATGATGCCCGTGATAATCAAACCTTTGCTCCCTCTTTACCTATCGGTCCGCATTCTGCCGGGTTGGTCATGTGACAGGCCGTCCCCTGCCTGATGTTCCAGCCGTAGTTCATACCGCTCTGTATGACATTGATCTCATCAAACTTATTGGTGCCGGTCTCGGCGCAGAAGATTCGACCGGAGCCTGAAAGGGGGCATTTGTTACGTCTCTACAAAATAATCCTTGTTCATGGAATTACCTTTCAATCTTTGTTGTTGTTATAAAGGATGCTTATATGTTATAAAGTATGCTTATATGTTACAAAGGAGGCTTATATGTTATAAAGTATGCTTATATGTTATAAAGGAGGCCTATATGTTATAAAGGATGCCTATATGTTATAAAGGATGCTTATATGTTATAAAGGATGGTTATATGTTGTAATTGATGTTTATATGTAATAAAGTATGCTTAAATGTTATTGGAATGTTTATATGTTATAAAGTATGCGTATTTGTTATAATTGATCTTTATAGCTCTAATATGATTCCGGATAAAAAAAATAATTAAAAAACACCATTAAGAGAGAACATCGCATGATGATTATCACACAAGGGGCATCACACATAAAAAGAGTTATTTCCCCTTTGTTTTTTTCAATCCTAACGAATGTAGTAAGTCACCCGACATATGCGTCTCTCTGAAAACATCCATACGCCACTAGCGAACGAAAGAGAAAACAAATCACCTCCTCTCCTCCTGGCCGAGTCCTGGCTACACCCCCACATGTTCCTGAACCCAAGAGCGAACAACTCCGGCCTGGCGATGGAGTCGTTCACGAAGGGGTTGCTCCCGGGAATGCCATAGAGCTTGGCTATACCGGAATCCCCCTCGGTGAAATCTTGGCCTCCGTTGACGTCGATTCTCATAACTTTACCGTAGAAGGAATTCCTGGAAGTGTTAAACCAACACCAAAATCAAGGATAGGAAAAGTTGGAATTGACGTCATTAAATTTTAAGATACATATTTATATAGATAGCCATAAGGGAGCACAAGTAAATTGTTCGATTAACACATTGAACAGATTTAATCGTTGACATTATACGCTATCTTTATGGTAGCAATGAATTGTTGTTGCTGTTTGTTAAACTCCCTGAAGCGATTCCACCCCAACTAGGGACATTGCATGTCGGTTTCGATCATGTGTTTAATTAGCAATATCTTTTTCAGCCCTTAAAAATATCTATTTTAAAAAAAAAAAATATTTTCTTCGCTGAAATTAAGACCCCCCCCCACCCCCGATTCTCCGAGAGGGACCCTCCTCTAAAAAGGGGAGGGGGCGGAGGAGAGAACATGTCATCTAAAATTTTTGTTAGCTTAAAGGTCGCCTCACTTGTTCTGCGCGTTTCCCGTCGGGTCATCCTTCTCTCCCCCGTCTCCTGTGACAATGTAGAGGTAGCCGTCGTCTCCAAGCAACATCTGAAACAACATCCGCAATAGCTCATTGTATGGGACGTTCACGTAAGCCATGCAGGCGTAACGCACCGTTGATCACCACGAAACGTCACATACAGCGTGCGCCAAACATTGAGTACTGACGCTCCCGCATCTTGTACGTGAACATGCATGTGTCAACGGTGCATAGCTCCAGCCGCAACGTGTTCCAAGTAGTGAAAACGAAGATGTGTTGGATAGTCATTGCTGGAAATGGGTCTAGCAACGAAGGAAAAAGACTATTCTTTATTAAATATTATCTTCACCCATAAATAAGTTATCTCAAATGTGGACCAAGTTTAAAAAAAAAAAAGAAGGCCGAACCATTCCGAGCGAGATTTAATGATATGGCACCAAGTCAAACAGCTTTGCTGTCTGGTCTTACGAAATTTCGCTTTGCCTGAGGTATACTGTGTCAACGGAAAGTATGTCTGGTCGGCAAGTAACTGTTTAGATAGAGACTCTACCATGTTGGTCTCCGACAGAAGCTTTATTCGTCCCTAAAAAATCTAAGACAAACATACTGAAAGCTGACCATCATCGAACCAGGAGGGGTTGGGGGGGGGGGGCTGCAATCCGTTTAGAATAATCAGAAATGAGCACAATATGAACAAAGTATGGAAAAACCTTGAAAAAAAAAATAACGCAACAAAACGCCGAATGCCTTCTTCCACGAACTAGCAACAGTGGAAAAAAAATTATATATACATATACACACAAAAATAAACACTTTGAAGCTTTATTCGTCCCTAAAAAATCTAAGACAAACATACTGAAAGCTGACCATCATCGAACCAGGAGGGGTTGGGGGGGGGGGCTGCAATCCGTTTAGAATAATCAGAAATGAGCACAATATGAACAAAGTATGGAAAAACCTTGAAAAAAAAAATGACGCAACAAAACGCCGAATGCCTTCTTCCACGAACTAGCAACAGTGGAAAAAAAATTATATATACATATACACACAAAAATAAACACTTAGATGCAAGGGGGTATTCGGGAGGTCAGCAAAAGAAATGTTCTCTACATTGCAGCTAAGCGTTTATTTTTATTTTATTTTGTTTTTACTGTTTTTGCTCGCTGAAGAAGGCTTCTCGCCGACGCATTAGTTTCTTTGTTGCGTCCCTGTTTTCCCATACTTTATTCCGCTCATTATCCTTTATCATTGATTCAAGCATTCGCCGATGCTTAAGGATGTGGTTGTATTTTCCTACATGCAGGTTGAACCAAACTCAAGGAAGCCAGATCTGAGAGACAGCATAGTATCGTGTGAAGCATTTTTTTTATTTTTTTTGTTCTGGCCATGGTGAGCGAAGATTTGGATTTCTATAGAAATGTGTGGTTCTACAAAGAAAATCCCATTCACTTACTGGTCGATCAAACGTTCCCTTCCGTTGACACAGTACCTTCCCAGAAAGTCCATCTTTCGTAACAATAGACAGCATAACCGTGTTACTTGCTGTCATCTTTTAAAGTCACTCTCGGAATCGTTCTAGAACCTTTCTTCGAGTTCGATCCTATTTACGATCACGTAAGTATGAGCGAAAATAATGCTTAAAAAAAAGAATTCGGTTGTTTTTCCCCCCTCCACCGAGAGCAGCATTTCAAACAACTGCGCAACATCTGTATTTTCCCTAATAGGAATACGTGGCGGCTATGAACTATGAACGTACGCGTTCAAGCTGGGGAAGTTTCAGTACTGAATATTTGACCCATACTGTATGTTTGACCCATACTGTATGTTTGGCCCATACTGTATGTTTGACCCATACTGTATGTTTGGCCCATACTGTATGTTTGACCCATACTGTATATTTGACCCATACTGTATGTTTGACCCACACTGTATGTTTGACCCATACTGCATGTTTGACCCATACTGTATATTTGACCCATACTGCATGTTTGACCCATACTGTATATTTGACCCATACTGTATATTTGACCCATACTGTATGTTTGACCCATACTGTATGTTTGACCCATACTGTATATTTGACCCATACTGTATATTTGACCCATACTGTATATTTGACCCATTCTGTATGTTTGACCAATATTGAATGTTTGACCCATACTGTATGTTTGACCCATACTGTATGTTTGAGCCATACTGTATATTTGATCCATACTGTATGTTTGACCCATAATGAATATTTGACCCATACTGTATATTTAACAGTCAGTGCTTGGTGTCAGACTCAATGAATTCCCCTTCAAATGCACACGTGTCACTCACCGGACCACCGTTACCTCGTTCAAACGGTTGGTACATTCTCAACAAGTAAACTTCCGTCTTCGGGTTGACCTGGCCGTTCTCTACACTAAATGCGCTGACGTAAGCGTAATCTCGGCCTTCGACTTTTCTGGTAGAAGAGAACAAGGCATTCTGATGTTTCGACATTTTAAAGAGTTTTAAAAATGAAAACACATTCTTAGCTCGTGCGGATTGAGCCCGGAGGCTTTTCGTTTGAACTTTTTAAATTGATTGATTATTATGTACTCTAATATCAAGTAACATTATATTTCAATACAAATTTCAGCAGACATCATTGAAGAAGTTTTTTTTTTTTTTTTTTTAAAGAACTCACACGGAAATCGATTGGTCATGTCTGACATTGTGTTTGTAGCTCGACCTTTGACCCGTATGTCAAACGCTTAAAACCAAGTTATTTTAGTAAATGCTATTGTTATGTTTCGCTTTTAAAAAATGGCGGATTTGTTTGTGATAGAAAAATTAGGTAACAAAATAATTACTTGTAATTTTATTTTCATGTTGGTTTCGTGTGTGCGCACTTTAGGTATTTGACATAACCTTAGCTTTCGTGGGAGATGGGGGTGTGTGGCAGAGCCGTGCGTATTGTTCCATGCTGGCACCCGCCATCTTCATGGGGGCACTCAAATCTTTATTTTTCATTCAAAATGTATGTACTAATATTTCCTTTTTTTTTTTTTTTTTTTTTTTTTTTTTTAACAGT